CTCCCGGGATCCGAACCCGGGCCGCCAGCATCAGAGCGCGCGCACCCAACCGCCAAGCCACGGAGCCGGCCCTGTTTTAACTTTTTATTTTTAGATAATTGTAGAGTCACATGCAGTTGTAAAAAATATATGCAGAGATCTCATGTACACTTTATCCAGTCTTCTTGATTGGTAACATCTTGCAAAACTATAGTACAATATCTCAACCAGGATGTTTACCTTAATACAGTCAGATACAGATCCACAGGGATCTCTCATGTTGCCCTGTTATGGTCATACCCACTTCCTTCCCACCCTAGTTTCTCCTTAACCTCTGGAAACCACTAATCTGTTCTCCATTTCTATAATTTTATTATTTCAAGAATATTATATAAATGAATTCATACTGTATATAACCTTTTGGGATTGGCTTTTTTTCACTGAGTGTAATTTTCTGGAGATTCATCCAGGTTGTTGTGTATATCAATGGTTTGCTCAATTTTATGGCTGAATAATATTCCATAATATGGATGTACCACAGTTTTTTTAACCATTCACATGTAGAAAGATATCTGGGTTGATTCCAGTTTTTGGCTATTTGAGTAAAGCTACTATAAACATTCGTTTACAGATTTCTGTGTGAATATAAATCTTCATTTCTCCAAAATAAATACCCAGGAGTGCAATTGCTGGGTCATATGGTAGTTCCAAGTTTAGTTTTGTAAGAAATTGCCAAATTCTCTTTCAGAATGGCTATGCCATTTTATAATCCTACCAGCAATGTATGAGTGATAACAGTTTCTCCACATCCTCTCCAGCATTAGGTATTGTCACTATTTTTTATTTTAGGTATTCTGAAAGATAGTAGTGATATCTCATTGTGGTTTTAATTTGCAATTCCCCAATGGCTAATGAGTTGAACATCTTTTCATGTGCTTATTTGCTGTCTGTATATCCTCTTTAGTGAGATGTTTCTTCATGTCTTATGCCAATTTTTTAATAGGATTGTTTGCTTTTTTCTGTTGAGTTTTGAGAATTCTTAAAGATTTTTATTTATTTATTTTTCCCCCAAAGCCCCAGTAGATAGTTGTCTGTCACAGCTGCACATCCTTCTAGTTGCTGTATGTGGGACGTGGCCTCAGCATGGCCGGAGAAGCGGTGCGTCGGTGTGCACCCAGGATCCGAACGCGGGCCGCCAACAGCGGAGCGCGCGCACTTAACCGCTAAGCCACGGGGCCGGCCCGAGTTTTGAGAATTCCTTATGCATTCTTTTTTGTTGTTGTTGTTAGGAAGATCAGCCCTGAGCTAACATCCATGCCAATCCTCCTCTTTTTTTGCTGAGGAAGACCGGCCCTAAGCTAACATTTATTGCCAATCCTCCTCCCTTTTTCCCCAAAGCCCCAGTAGATAGTTGTATGTCATAGTTGCACATCCTTCTAGTTGCTGTATGTGGAACACTGCCTCAGCATGGCCAGACAAGCGGTGCATCGGTGCGCGCCCGGGATCCGAACCCAGGCCGCCAGTAGCGGAGTGCACGCACTTAACTGCTAAGCCACGGGGCCGGCCCCTCTTTATGCATTCTAGATACTAGTCCTTTGTCGGATATGTGGTTTGCACATATTTCCTCCTAATCTGTAGCTTGTCTTTTTATCCTCTTAATAGGATCTTTTGTGGAGCAAAAGTTTTTAATTTTGATGAAGTCCAAGTTGTCAGTTTGTCCTTTTATGAGTCAAACTTTTGATGTCAAGTCTAAGAACTCTTGGCCAAGCCCTACATCCCAAAGATTTTATTTTATTTTTTTCAAAAATTTTATTCGTTTAGGGGCCGGCCCCGTGGCCGAGTGGTTCAAGTTCCGCAAGCTCCACTTCAGTGGCCCGGGTTCACGGGTTTGGATCCTGGGTGCAGATCCTGGGTTCGGATCCATTCATCAGCCATGCTGTGGCGGCATCCCACACACAAAATAGAGGAAGACTGGCACAGATGTTAGCTCCAGACAAATCTTCCTCAAAAAAACAACAACAAAAAAATCTACTGTTTTATATTTAAGTTTGTGATCTATTTTGAGTTAATTTTTGTATAGGATGAGAGACTTAGGTCAGGGTTCATTTTTTGTGTATGACTGTCCAGTTGCCCCAGCACCATTTCTTGAAAAGGCTATCTTTCTTCCATTGAGTTGGTTTTTTACCTTTGTCAAAACATCAGTTGTGTGTATTTATATGGGTCTGTTTCTGAGTTCTCTATTCTGTTCCGTTGATCTATGTGTCTGTCACTCCACCAGTACCACACAGTCCTTGATCACTATAGCTATAATAAGTCTTGAAATTTGGTAAACTGATTCCTCCCACTTTATTCTTTTTCAAAATCCTTTTAGCTGTTCTAGTTCCTTTGCCTTTTCGTATACATTTTAGAATAACCTTGTCTATATCTACAAAAAAATCTTGCTGGGCTTTTCCTATGAATTGCATTAAACCTGTATATCAATTTGAGGAGAATTGACATCTTAACTATATTGAATTTTTTGATCCATGAACACGGTAGGGGGAAAACATTCAGTCTTTCATCATTAAGTATTAAAAGTTCCCCTCTATTCCTATTTTTCTGAGAGTTTTTATCATGAATAGATGTTGACTTTTGTCAGATGCTTTTTCTGCTTTGGTTGATACAATCATGTGATTTTTTTTTTTTGGCCTATTAATATAGTGGATTACATTGATTGATTTTCAAATGTTAAACCAGCCTTACATCACTGGGCTAAGCCCCACTTAGTGATGGTGTATAATTATTCTTTATATTGCTGAATTCTATGTACTAATATTTTGTTATGGATTTTTCTGTCTGTGTTCGTGAGGAATATAGTACAGTCTTTGTTTCTTTTTTGTACTGTCTTTGTTTTTTTGTATCAGGGTAATACTAGCTTCATAAAATGAATTGGAATGTATTCCCTCCTCTTCTATTTTCTGGAAGAGACTGTTGAATTAACAATTGGTGTTAATTCTTCTCTAAATGTTTGGTAGAATTCTCCAGCGAAACCATCTGGGCCTGGAGATTTCTCTTTTGGGAGTTTTAAAATTATTAATTCAACTTCCTTAATATTTGTAGGGCTATTTATATTACTATTTCATATTGGATGAATTGTGGTAGTTTGTGTTTTTTGAGGAATTGGTCCATTTTGTCTAAGTTATTAAATTTATGTGTACGGAGTAGTTTATAGTAGTTCTGTATTATTGGTTCGGTATCTATAGGGTCTGTCTTGAGATCCCATTTCATTCCTGATATTGATAATTTGCATCTTCTCTCTCTGTTTTTCAGTTTTGCTAGAGTTTTGTCAATTTTATTGATCTTTTTAAAGAACTATCTTTTTGTTTCATTGATGTCTTCTGTTGTTTTTCTGTTTTCAAATTCATTGATTTCTGCTTTTATCTTTATTATAGACTTCCTTAAGCTTGTTTTTGGTTTATTATTCTCTTCTTTCTCTAGATACTAGATTTATTTATTTTAGATGTTACATCTTTTTAATGTATGTATTTAGTGCTGTAAATTTTCCTCTCAACATTTCTTTAGCCATGTCCCACAAATTTCAATATGTTATTCATTTTACTGATAAGAAAAAAGGTTGAGACAAATGACTTGCCCAGGGTCATATGGTTGATGAGAGATGGAGCTGGGACTTGAACTTCTCTCTCCAAGTCCAGTGCCTTCCCCACTAAATCACAGGTACTTCTTGTGTTGTAGAAGATGTTATTCTTATCTTTCTCACCTGGGTTAGGTCTCAAAGCTGTTTAAATTACTTACACTTTCTGACATCTGGGTTATAACCCTGCTGTGAAAAGAGCTGCTTATAAGCAGTAGCAGGAATCACCTGCAGTGACTTTTGGGACAGCTAGTTAAATCCAACACTACAACTTGATCTGCTAGTATAGTGGTTCCCAAATTCTTCTGTGCATTAGTATCATTTAGAGAGATTTAAAAAATCGCCATGCCCACACTGCACCTGATACCAATTAAATCAGAATGTCTGGAGGTGAGAATCAGGCACTGGTATATTTTTTAGAGATCCCCAGGTGACTTAAATGTGCAGCAAAGTTTGGGAACCACTGTTCCAGTGTGTTGAAGGAAGTATATAACTAACATTGCAGCTGCAAGAGCTTAGAGAGATTTTTTTTTTCCTTTTAACAGCTGCAATTTTATTTGGTCCCCTTTGGGTCCCAATTATAGGATCACCTAAAACCAAAAACAGAAGGAAATTTCCTCTGCTCCATTCTTAAAAACTAAAGCTGTTGGTCCTCTGAATTCTCTCCTGTCCTTTCAACTGTAATCCAGAGGTTGGTAAATTTTTCCTGTAAGGGGCCGAATAGTAAATATTTTAGGCTTTGAGGGTTGTACAGTCTCTGTCACAACTACTTAGCTCTACTTTTGTGCGTCAAGAGCAGCCATAGACAAAACAAATGGGCATGGCCATGTTCCAATAATACTTTATTTACAAAAACAGGTTGTAGGAGAAACAAAGAGACAAAAAAGAGGTTGTGTGTAGGATTTGACCCAAGAGTTGAAGTTTGCTAATCCCTGTCATAAGCATTCAAATGTCCCACTTGTGAAACATTGATGTCCAGAAGTATTTGCAGGACAGAATCCAACTTCTAGCACCATAGGCCCAGCCTGGCTATATCCCTGAGTGACCTTAGAGATTCTAGCATGACCCTTCTTGAGCACAGGGGCTGGTGCTTAGCTTCAGCTGTGATACCTCTCCTTCTCCATTGTTGAGTGACTGGGTGTGAGAAGGGAATGGTAGAGCATAGGGAGAGCCATACTTATTTGAATCACTTGATTCTGTGCACACAAAAAATAAGGTTCTTTCTATGTTTGAAACAATTAAAAATGATAAATTACCAAACTCCTCTGCCTAGCTTATTTGACATTAATATCAGCTCTAGAGCTATACTGTCCAGTATGGTACCACTAGTCATATGTGGTTATATGCTTTATATTAATTAAAGTAAAGTAAAATTTAAAATTCAGTTCTTCAGTTGCACTAGTCACATTTCAAGTGGTTAATAGCCACTACATGATTAGTATCTACTGTATTGGACAGTGGAGATTCATTGCAGCAAGTTCTATTGGGTAGTGCTGCTATAGCATTTGTGAGCCATGAATCTTGAACAACTCTAACTTTGGAATTTTTAAAATCAGTATTTTTTTAACATCCTTATTACTCTTTATTCATTTAGCCAAAACTCATTTTTAAATTAATTTAAAGTAAATATAATGTACTATTTTGTTTTAGAGAAAAAGGAAATGAATTTCATGGTATCGAGAAAATGACTTAGTAAGAACTACTGGTCATATTCATTGGAAACTTCATCGTAGAAAATTATAAAATTACCTTATATGAAGAGTTGATAAAAATGGTGTGGACAGTGAGATTACGTTTATTGAATAACTTATATGTGCTAGGCACTGAGTGCTTATAGTTGAAGCTCAGGAAAGTTAAGTAAACACCAAGGAAGCTGGTATTTGAAACCAAGCCTGTGTGATGACTTCAGGACCTTTGCTTTCCTATTACACTCTGCTGCTTCAAGTTTACCAAAGACTGTGGTAGGTATTTTACACATTTTATCTCAAGAAGCTGTAATTCCCTAGATATGTTTTATTGCTATACTATGTTAAGTTAAATGAGGCAAGTATCAATCTTCCTTAAAATAAGAAATCTAACCTAGGCTTCTTTTCCTTAACAAGCATGTGGGGGGGGCTGGCCCTGTGGCTTGGTGGTTAAGTGCGCGCGCTGCGATGCTGGTGGCCCGGGTTCGGATCCCGGGTGCGCATCAAGGCACCACTTCTCCGTTCATCCTGAGGCCGAGTCCCACATACAGCAACTAGAAGGATGTGCAGCTACGACATACAACTACCCACTGGGGCTTTGGGGGGAAAAAAAAAAAAATTAATAACAAGCATGTGGGGGAAGAGGAAAAATACCAGTGATCCTATTATAGTTTGGCAGACCAGTCATAATAGGATTTAGGAATACTAGAAATTCCTTTAAAACATTACTATTGTGACATTAATATAATTTGTATTATAATTATCAACAAGATGACTAATCAGAATTATAGGTTTGTTTGAAGGTTATCTTTACAGAACAATGCAACAGATTCTGATGTCTTTGGAGAATTGCAAGACCTCTTTTTCCAAATTATACTTCCAAGATTAGATTTAACAGAGAACAGAACAAGTTGTAACAATTATGAATATTCACACAATCTTCATTTTGCACAGGAAAACAAGATTGTCTTGTGAATGTTTTCAGTTTAACAAATTGTCAAACAAAATTCTTTGAATTAGCTTATGGCGTAGAAAAAATTTCACTCTTTGTAGCTGGAAGACAGAGGGGCCATCATCTCCATCTCTTTCTGAGACTCCATTTGGTAATTATAAAGATTTGTATTTTTAGGCAGGATTTGGAATTTCATTATTTGTCATTAAAAATGCAAATCAGGTCTGCAGAACTCCATTTTACTGGCAAAAATGAAGAAAGATAAATAGGATTTTATTTAATAGCAGTGAAATAATGTTATAATGCGTCTAGCATTAATCTTTCACATCTAACACCGGCTCAATACAAGATTGACATAAGGGAAGCCATATTGTAGAAAGGAAACCATATTGTAACTTTGAATGACCTCTGATTAACTGACATGCTCTGTGGATTTTATGGCCCCTCCCAGCTGCAGTAAGTCGATAACTCTGTTCTTTTGAGTTCCTTAGGAATGCAATGAACCCTGGGCAGAGAGTCTATGCTGACAGACATCATCAATGACCCCTAAAAGATCAGGGTATAGGGTGTTGCTCCAGTCTCTGATGCATGTCTGATAAAACAAAAGACTACCAGAAGCTAAGACAAGATGTCTGCCTCCACCCGGAGATCAGATGGATGCCCCACCCTGAGAGTAGATGTCTGCCTCTACCTGGAGACCAGATGGATGCCCCATCCTGAGAGTAGATGCTTGCCCCACGCAGAGACCAGCCCCCTATATAACTGGCCTTTAGTCTTTGTTCTGTAAGATAGTTTTTTTCTGACATTAGTCGGCCATCTTCCCTCTTGCTAACAAGCTGTAATAAATAGTCCTTTCTCTTCTACCTTCTTGCCTCTTGACTATTGGCATGTCTTGCGATGGGCAGGTGACCCCCCCACCCCTTGGGCAGTAACACATTTACTTTAAGCATTTTCTTTTACCCTTTGAAAAATAAGTTTATAACCTGCTTCAGCAATTAGTTTTAAGCTATTAAAACATATTGAAATTGTAATGGAAAAGACAAGCCCTAGAATAGACCTGTAGTATTTTCTGTAGTTTGATGCCATGATGTTTATCTTTGTGTGTAGGAGGCAGATGCTGAGCCCTTACTGTGACACACTCAGAAGTAATCCATTGCAGCTAACCTGCAGGCAGGACCAGAGGGCAGTTGCAGTGTGTAATTTGCAGAAGTTTCCAAAGCCTTTACCTCGAGAGTACCAGGTAACACTTGTTTTGGGCACAATTTTGAGAATCAACTTTTTAAAAACAAGTCTTCATTTTGAATTAGAAGAGTGAATTCTCTTACGTTTTTCAATTTATAAGGCCCCATTTGTTTTCTCTAAGTTAGAAAAAACTGAAGAATTCCTCCATTTCTTTATAACCAGTGTGCTAATTGACAGCAATTGATTTATTAATCTAGCAATGCCTTGTAGTAATGGTAAGAGGCATTTAGAATATTTATTTATTCTATTTTTAAACTGTTTGTATTTTCTTTCTAATTGTTTCCAAAGTCTTTGTCTTTAATTTCCTCTAATTTACACAGAAAACAAGGTTCTTTAAAGAAAATAACTGAAGTACTCTAATCCAACTAATTAGAAAGCTTGGAAGTTCTGCTTTAGAAAAAGTTTGACTCGTGGGATCTAAAAGGTGAAGGAAATGGTCCCCCATGTTCAGTCTTAATCTCTGATTTGACCTTTAGTTGTTTGTTGCAGTGGCTCTCTCTAAACAGCCTCAGCTCTGCCATTTTACAAAGGACCTTTAGGCAGAAATGATATCTCAGAAATGGCAGAACTCAGGAAAACTGAGCAACTCACCAAAATGGTGGGGGCTCTCATCTTAAATACCATCTTCAGCTAAAGACAAAGGAGGATGTTAGGGGTGGGGGGAGTCAGTTATGGGAGATTACCAGAAAAGCACAGTAAACAAAAGTAAGGTTATTGTTCAGATTTAAGTCCTTGCCTTCTGAATTAATAAGAGTTTCTAGAGATAAGGTCATCCTGCCTTCTTCCTGGCATGGAGAGGGAGATACCTTTATAAATAGATATTTCCCTTACAAATGTAAATGTCTCTTACAAAGGATAACTTCTACCTTTACTTGGTTTTCAGTGCTTTTCCTATGTCTGCAGTTTTTAAGAGTAACCAGCCCAAAATAATCCTCATGCCAGAGACACATTTTGGGGTGGCTACTTCTGATCCCCCGCAGTGTAAAATGTGAAATCTTTAAAATTTATCTGGTACCTTGTTCCTTTGGTGTTCAAAGTATTTTATATATATGATCTCATTCATTTTCTCACAGTTTTATTTTTTGAAGTTTGTCAAAACAACATATAAATTAAGTCTCCTAAAAACACTTGAAGTACATTATATTTAAATATCTTAATTCTGTGCATTAGTTTTGTGGTTTGTCAACTCTTAACACTCTTCCTATTCACCCTTTTAAAACATTAGTCAAAGTTGTCATCTAATAAAAAACTTAGACTAATTTACTTACCTTGCTTATTTCTAAAACTATAACAACCTCAAAATACCCCTTAGATAGTATATTACTATCTTTGTGTTGTACCACATATGAAGAAAAGTACATTAATATCTTCTTTGTGTTATACAGCATTATAAGGTTGCTATAAATTGCCTGTGGACTTTGTTTGGATTATACAGAAAGTTTTTACTCTCCTGTCTTCCTAATAATTTTTTTTATAGTACTTTGACGAACTCAGTGGAATACCTGCAGAAGATTTGCCTTATTACGGTGGTTCAGTAGAAATTGCTGACTACTGCCCTTTCAGTCAAGAATTCAGCTGGCATTTAAGTGGTGAATATCAGCGCAGCTCAGATTGCAGAATATCGGAAAATCAACCAGGTTAGTAGTCTAGTGAAATGAAATGTTATTTACGTATTAAATTACATATCAGCAATATAAAATAGTGGTGACAGGCACAGACTCTGGGACCAGACTGAGTTTGTGTTGTTGTTCCACTGCTATCCATCTGTTGGAAGTAACGTAACTTCTCTGCGCCTCAATTTCCTCCCCTGTACAAAGGCGATGATAATATCTTTCTCATAGAGTTGTTGTTAGAATTAAATGAATTAATATAGTAAGTGCTTAGAACTATGACATATAAGAAGGATTGTTAGCTATTATTAGATACACTTGTGTGTGTGTGCATACACACTGCTTTCTAGTAATACCATATATCTACATGACACTTTTCATTTGCAAAGCATTTTCATTTTTATCATTTTGTTTTATTCTTCTAAAAACCTGATGAGAGACATAAAGAAGATATTATTGAATTTCACAGATGAACGAAGAGACACTAAGTGATATATTTAATTGGTATCAGTGCAAGATCCTCCAATGCAGAGCTCTTTTTATTAAATCATATTAGGTATCCTATTTTTTTCCTCGCCTGAGGAGTGTGCATTTTATGTGATTTAGAAGTAACACGTCATTCTCCAGATATCAGAATAATACTATTTTCCCATGGCTAGTAAATATGTATTGCCATATTATTTATTCTCTTTTAATACGTGTAAATGAACAGATCATCAAAGGAATAAACAGTATGGCAATTGGATATTCAAAACTAATAATTATAGCTCATACTAACCACCTTTGTAAACAAAATGTTCTCACATTTGATATGTTAATAAAGAGCAATAAGTAGTTTTTTTCTCTGGGGTCATCAAAATTTTTAAGCTGGTCCTTTTTTCCCCCTTTATTCCATATTTTATTATAGACTAAGACATTTAAATTTTAAATTTCCATAGTGTTTTTTCCTTCTATTCTTAAACCTGGCAGATTTAACTGGATTTATACAGTAATGTTTTTCATCACTTACCTACTTAATAAATGTCTAAAGACATATGATATAACTACTCAGCAGTTCTGTGTTAAAGCAAAGAAATGCACAGATCTGTCAAGTATGAGTTTGCCAAAGATATAGTAGCACATTTTATTGTTTTAGAGCTGGAGTTGGCAAACATTTTTTATAAAGAACAAGATAGTAAATATTTTAGGCTTTGTGGATCAACAACAGTCTCTGCTGCAACTATTCAACTCTGCTGTTATAGTGTTAAAGCAGTTATAGACAATATGTAAGTGAATGAGTGTGGCTGTGTTTCAATAAAACTTTATTTATAAAAACAGGTAGTGCTCAAAATTTGGCGAAGGGTTCTAGTTTGCTGACCCCCTTTTTATATTTGACACTGACCACTATGTTTTTCAAGGACTTTGAAATACTCAAAAATAAAAGAAATAAAGAGTTCTGTTTTATTCTGTTTTACATTTCCTTTCTTAGCTTATACAATTAAGATTTTTCAAAACTGACATAAAATAAAATACTTATCTTTGTAATATTTCAAAATGGGCTAATTGAGCTCTCTGCTTTCAAAAGATGAAACTTACTTGTATTAAGTGTAAAGAGAGCAAATTATTGCTAGGGTTTAGGAGTCTCATCCCTTTGCCCATTAACTATTTAGAGGTCGTTTAGTCCACCTCATACCTCTGCAGGTTTCTGCTTAGTCTGAAACTAGATCAGCATGTTATTTATGGACTTGCAGGAGATGGCATAAAGTGAAAATTCAAGAGAGTTTTGCAAAAGTTGCAACACCCCAAAAAAGCCTTCATAAATCACTTGGCCTCCTCCTACCATGGGTCACTTGGGAAGTTACTGCTACCTAGGCCCCGAGTGACGATGGTTCTTAGTGCCATTTCCTCTATTTATCAAACTTAGATACTTTAGGCCTGGTTTTATCTCTTGTTTCTAATATAATAATTTTCTCCTACTAATTCCTTTGTTGAGAACCCAGTTTGAGTTTTGAGCCCTGTTTCTCTTGACTTTTTTCATTGAAAATTTCCATTAAACATGTTTGATGTTAAAAGCAACTTTTAATCATAAGAAAGGAATGCTTCATTCCATCCAAAAACCGAAGAATACACGTTCTTTTCAAATGCACATGGAACATTCTCCAGGATTGATCACATATTAGGCCACAAAACAAGTCTCCATA